GCTGTGCGGCAAAGTCCCCGCAGCCAGACAAGCCCTCTAAATAGTCTTGCTTTTGTGGAGCGGCCTCCCATTTCCAGTAAAGTCAAGGGGTGGGCTCTCTGTTCTCTCGCCGCCCCTGAGCCCTGTCCTTAATGTCTACATGTCCTGCACCATCTAATTCACAGGCAAATTAGGGAGATGATTTATGAGAATCAAGGATCAAAAAAGGAGACAATGTGGAAGACTGAGCACACCGCAAGTTTTATGCAGAACATATGCCGTGAAGATGAGAGGGAAGAAAGACAGAAAGAGGGGGGTGTAGATCAGAAAGCGTAAAAAAAAAAAGAACCCACATACACCCATGCTTCTCTTGGGACAACTCTGGGACAAGATACACCATGGGAAGTGTCATCCCTGCTGAACATCTTAGCGTTTATGTTGTCATGTCAGAAGAAAACAACCAGGAATGGACATGTTCCCTGGAGATTAAATGGAAGTTCACTGATCTGTTCTCCAGTAATCGACCCTAAGCTTTACCTTTAGGCAACATTTGTGTTAACAGCTAAAATCATTATGCACTTCACACATGTACACATGAAGTGTTCTTGCATCGGTGTACACAACCACGATACCTACTGACAGTTAGCAGATTAAAGATTTACAGGAAGGCCTTGGGGAAAGTAAAGAATGACTTAACATACTCCTTCCCGACCTGCTATTACAGCAGCTTCCAAAACCTGTCTGTCCATAATCCCCGGTTCATATGAACATACAGAACTATCACACGCAAAACCGCCCGCCTCACAAAACAGTTATGTGTCAGGGGGAAAACACAGCAAATAATCTGGAAACACTTGAGCTCTTTTTATACTCCTGACATTAAAAACGAGTGTGGCCGAGGGCCAAACACACCCTGAGACATTTTGGACTAATTGTTTCCTTCAGTCTCAAACACTCCCCCTTCAATCTATTCAAAACTCCCTTCCTTCCCTCCTTGCAGTGCAACCCCTCCCCTCCACCTCTCTGCATCTACTAATAGGTTTAAATAAAACCTGCAATTGGTCCAGTAAACCCCTCATTATGGTGTTTTAATAGAATGAATTTAGGATAGTGCAGGGTCAGGGATCAATGGGAGGTCCTAACACACAGCAGCTGTCATGGGGGATGGACTGTGATTAGAACCAGTGGAGTCAAACATCCCCGGGTTCTCGACCTCACTAAGTAGAAAACCTGGAAAATACATTTGGCCACATACCAAAATGGAAAACATCCACCATCGAACTTCCAGGAGGGGTGGGATGAGTAGAGATGGAACAGAAAGGAGGAGTAGGTACATTCATCACTGAGAGTTTGCTTTTTAATGTGTGTGTGAACCTGGCTGGAAAATCCTAAAGATCCAACCATACCAGGTCCTATAACTTCGCCAGGGTTGTAAAATACAGGCTTTTCTAGTCAGAGATACACTGTCTGAAACCCATATCCTTGCTTTCCAGTTGTATTTGCTGCAACTGTAAATTTTGCACTAATTACCTTCTTTCTGGGTGTGTGAAACCAAAGATAGAAGTGGTCTAGTTGATGTGGTGCAGGGGTGAAACATGACTTGTTAGCAGCCCAGGAGTTTGTTCCACATGTGGTTAGGCAGTGGTTAGGATCGTCTGGGTGAGAGGGAGGGCATGCCAGTCTCCACAGTTCAGCAAGTTTACACTGACTCAGTGTGCAATCAGTGAGATTATTTAACAGAATGAAGGCCTGTGTTTGGGTTAGGGTTAGAGCAATGTGGTGGCTGTAGAGACACGGGTTTCCTCATGTGGAAAATTTTGCATAAATTCTATCAGGATTCTGTGGTGCAGAACTTGTATCATGTACAAAAATAGGGATTTAAATATTTAATATATTTTTCGCATGCAATACTCTGTTGGATGCATAGCAGACGTTTTCCAACTTTTTTTTTATGACCTTTATGAACTCCTCATCAGTTTGACATCATTGTAACACATCCAAAACTCTTTTATATACTGCACAATGCTGTGGCAATGTATGCCAATTCAACTGCAACATATTCTGTCCAATAACTTGGCTAGAGTAAAGAAATGTGCCTAAGTGCATTAAAAGACAGAAGCAGAGACCAAAGGGGGCAAGATTCCTGTGGGTGACTGTGTAATTTAATTTTGTATGCACATTAGAAGCCAGAGAGTATAATTTACATGTGGGGTAGAAGTGACTAGGACCCAGGAGAAATGGGCTAACATGCTCTGCTAAGGCCCGGAAAAAAAAATAAAAATCTGAAAATCTTTACCCTGGTCCTTCCTTTGAGATGCATCTAGCAAAAATAGGAAAATTAAAACCTTCCTTCATTCTTTGGGACACTTAAGGTTCATGCGCGGTTACCTCTCCTCTGTTGCTCCTTCCTTTTCTAATCAAGAGCCCAGAGCCCACAAACTCTGACCAGAGTTTCTCGCCACAATACAGGGAGGCATTAAGGGGGGAGGCTGGAGTCTGTTTTAAGTCTGTCTCCATCTCTCCATCCAGAAACCAAGACTGTCTCCCTGCTTCGTAGGGCTTGACGGCAGCTGTCACTCACACTGGACTCATCCTGATTGATCTTCAATGTCATTATACCTGAGATGAGGTTATAATTTAATTTAATCATGTTAAAATATGTTTCCTTTTTTTCCCAATAAATACAAATCAAATGAAGCACTTTTTGAACATGCTGGTTTGATTAATACTGATTCGTTTGTTTGTTTGTCTGTCTGTTTGTCTGTCTGTCGGCAGGATACCTCAGCCCTGACAAAAGGATTTCCATGAAATTTAGTGGTGAGACAGGATGAGCCAGGAAGGCTTGATTCAGATTTGATGGTGATTGGGAACAGGGATATCAAGTAATACATGTGACACAAACACAAAAAAAAAATTTCATTGAAAATCCAAAGGGAATGTTAAAAGGATTGAATAATCAATATTATTTATGTGCAAGTGACAGGAATTATGTCTTGTGTGTCACAGCAAATTGATAAATTAATGGAGGTTTTAAAGTCCTTTCTAGTTCATTATCAAAATTTACACTAGAGTCATGTGGCTTTGAAATGAATGTAGACATGATAAAGACACATAATATGAAGTCTAATATCTACAAAATATTAAAACATTTCTGTTTAAATACAATACAAGAAGTTCACACGTTCATGCTTAAACCCTGAAAAAAAGTGTACAATTCTACAGTCTCACACAGCCATCAATACATATATGCACACACACAGTAAATACTTTTCCATGTGTGAAGCGGGATGAGAACGAAGCCAGAGTCATTCATGTTTGACAGCTCGCTGCTGTCCTGTCCTGTCTGTCTGTTCACACGCACACACACACACACACACACACACACACACACACACACACACACACACACACACACACACACACACACATGCACTGAACTTGACCCAGCCAAGCGCTTTGACAGCAGCTGTTAGAAAAAGAGGCGGCTCGGGTATGACCAGAGCACTTTCATTTTCCTGTTTGTGATATAAATTTTCAAGAAAACAATTTTGTATTTTTTAAAGGCAGACACAGGATCCTTTTACAGACATCAAATACAAAATACTTTCATTCAAATTCACCAGCAAGGCCTTTTGCTCCTTAAGCCTGTTGTTAATAAAAGAACAAACAATGAAAACTTCTTACCTTACTGTGCAAGCCATTACGTTTCTTGCAGTAAACTCTGTACTATACTGTATTATTTCCACTCTGTTCTTCCCGCAGCCACCTGCAGTGTGCATTGAACAAAGCAAACTGCCGTCCAGCACAAACATACCTTGTCTTTTCACAGGGAGGCCGGTGATAAAAATCACCCCACAATATATGAATACAAAGACACCTTTAACAAAGGCAGTGATTCAATCTACCCGCTTATCTCTTCTGCTTTTTATATCTTCAGTGTCATAAAACAGCCTGCTTCACTGGGAGTGAGAAGTGACTTATGGATCACAAACAGACTGCTGGGACATATTCAGTTCCTCTTCTAAATTTGGAGCATTTATCAAAAGCTATAACACAGGCCTGTGAAGTTGGTGGCTTTTGTTATCGGTCGGTTCAGGGGTGAGAGTATTTGTTTCAGAGTCATGATCATTTGTTCAGATTAGACAGACAGACATGGAAGGTTTAATATCACACATTGAACTTGTCTAAGAAACATTGATGAATGATTGTTATATAGCCATTATTAAATCATCAGTTCTAACTAGTGGGAGAGAGGATCATCCTGTCTCTGGGAGAATGAGATCTGACAGACCCGCTGACATTGATTATATATCTGCTATTGCAACCCTGCTGCGATTTAGTTTGTTAGAAGCTTTGACACATTTGTCGTCTAATGTGTAAACCAAATGAACAAAAGATAATACGTCACACTGTTCTCTATCATCTGAGACAATAAAAACCTTATTATCAATCTACATTATACTTATTCTGATAGCCGATTCTTTAGATCAGTTCGCTTGGAGCCAGAGTCAGATGTTTAACCTAAATCTTTCATCTCAGTAGGAAAAGATTACCATTTTTCCAAAAAAATCTACTTGTGTCTTTTGACATATTGTCTTGACTATTACTTCCTTTCACTGTAAGTGTGTTTATAACATCAAAATGTTTTTGTAAAGAAATACAATCCTCTATATCAGCAGGAAAGTAACATTATTAGCCTACATTACAATAATCATATTACCGAATGTTATTTTTAATTCAGGTGCTGACTTTTACATACATTCAAAGAACAGAATACTGTATTAACAGTAAAAAAAATAATGAACATCCAAAATTAGTAATTTCTGAACTCAATACATTTCCTAACACAACGTGTGCAACTTTACAACACAACTGTGTAGCCAGTGAAAAAAAGAGAAAATCATTATAATAATGGGTATCACATAAAAAGCATGAACCAATGGAGGGAAAGTGGTAAAGTGGTCCAGCCAATCCCAGGCGGAGGGTGGAGTGACGATTTTAAAACTCCAACTCAAGTTGCTGTAACGTGTAGCTCCTCAGCTCACATTGTGGACCACAACTTTCACGACTGCACCTCCCATGACAGCCTTGGAAAACAAGACTAACGAAGACAAACAAACAGGGAAACAGAAGGAAAACAACGGACTCGTATTGACTGAAATTGTTATCGGAATTTACTGTGGCGCACCGTGCGTAAAAGGCGCACTGGCCACTTCGCTGCGCACTTGAATTTAGTGGTAACATTTGATTGTTTTTAATTGAAGATTCCATTTTGGGATTTCCATCCCCAAGGGGCTGAACAAATCATGTTAAAAATGACAGAGGAGCATGACAAGTGTGTCAGCGACCAGCCGTGCAGTCCATCGGGCACAAACAGCTCCATGTCCCAGGACGAGTCCGACTCCGATGCGCCGTCCTCACCGACAGGCTCCGACGGCCAAGGATCCCTGCTCACCGGTTTGGGCAAGAAACTGGACTCCGAGGATGACGACCGGTTCCCAGCTTGCATACGGGACGCCGTCTCTCAGGTCCTCAAAGGATACGACTGGTCCTTGGTGCCCATGCCCGTGAGAGGGAATGGATCTCTGAAGAGTAAACCTCACGTCAAGAGACCCATGAATGCGTTCATGGTTTGGGCGCAAGCGGCCCGCAGAAAGCTGGCGGATCAATATCCACACCTGCACAACGCCGAACTGAGCAAGACTCTGGGGAAACTGTGGCGGTAAGGAAATATTCTATTTATTATAAAGAAAAAAATCAGGATAAAGAGGGTGTAAATTAAAATTATTAAAAGAAAATTACTATAAGGACACATGTCTGCAGATTTGGGCATCATTTCAAGTTAATCATTTAATAAATAATATATATACACATATATTTATTTTTCGCAGCTTCTCAGTAACATAGAAATGTATATTTTACTACATTTTAAAAAAGTTTTAGTTTTGAATGTGAATGTTTTATAAGAAATTAACAAATAAAAAATGTTTCCTTCTAACCTCTTGACAATAAATACAAAGCTCTAGAAGTAACTTGGGTCATCTAACAATGTTATATTTTCATTTTTATTTAATTTAACTGCATTCATTTTAATGTTTTTTATAATTTTTTTCTACCACAGTTTGCTCTCAGAAAGTGAGAAGAGGCCGTTTGTAGAGGAAGCAGAGAGGCTTCGGGTTCAGCACAAGAAAGATCATCCAGACTACAAGTACCAGCCCCGGCGACGGAAGAATGTGAAACCAGGCCAGAGCGACTCAGACTCGGGAGCAGAACTGGCACATCACATGTATAAAGCTGAACCAGGGATGGGAGGACTGGCAGGGATTACTGATGGACACCACCACCCTGAACACACAGGTATATTTTCAAATTTAATACAATAAATCGTGCAAAAACAGCAAATTTGTGGAGTATTATTTTAGGAATTAAATAATTGTAGCCTACTTTAAATTGTTTGTATCATTTTGTATTTGGAGTGATGACTTTATTTTTTATATTTGTTTCCAGGGCAGACCCATGGTCCCCCTACGCCACCCACTACTCCCAAAACAGACCTGCACCATGGGGTGAAGCAGGATCTGAAACATGAAGGCCGTCGTCTTGTTGACAGCACCAGGCAAAACATCGACTTCAGCAATGTAGACATCTCTGAGCTCAGCACTGATGTCATCAGCAACATGGAGACCTTCGATGTGCACGAGTTTGACCAGTACCTCCCGCTCAATGGCCATGCCTCAGGCTCCTCCACCCTGCCTCCAGACCACAGCCACGGGCAGCCTCCAGCGCCTGGTGGCTCTTACACTTCCTCATACAGCCACGCGGGTGCCAACGGGTCAGCGTGGAGCCGCAAGACCACCATGTCCTCATCCTCTCCCTCTGCCAGCGACGTAGGCCAGCACCGGCTCCACATTAAAACAGAGCAACTGAGCCCCAGCCACTACAGCGAGCACTCCCACAGGTCACCCTCACACTCCGATTATGGCTCCTACAGTAGCCAGGCCTGTGTCACCTCGGCCACGTCAGCTGCCTCAGCTGCAGCGTCTTTCTCTAGCTCCCAGTGTGACTATACTGACATCCAGAGCTCCAACTATTACAACCCTTACTCTGGCTACCCTTCTAGTCTCTACCAGTACCCCTACTTCCACTCATCCAGGCGGCCCTACGGCAGCCCTATCCTCAACAGTCTGTCCATGGCTCCTGCCCACAGCCCCACTGCCTCCAGCTGGGACCAGCCTGTCTACACCACGCTGTCTCGGCCTTAAGGGGACAAGAAACAGCGTCAGTTCGCACCAGAGACTAATTCAGATCGATGCACTACTAATGAAGGAAGTAAGGAGCAGGTGGAGAAGCGTGTGAAGGGGGTAGTAGGCTACCTGTGACCATTTGAACGTGAAACAAACAAAAGAAAAAAGTGCCTGCTGATTTTATACAAAGTTATATTGTTGCGATGAAAACACACTTGTACAGACTTTTTACACAAAGACAAATTGTGTTGTGTGGTGAGCCAAACTCCTCCATGAGGAAATGTCGCCTACGCCTACATCCTGTACATCCCCCCCCCAATCTTTCCAGTTTAAGATTGCACGTGTGTGCACACTTGAGGTAAAGCAAAGGCCTGCCACTGAGTTGTGTAGGAGAGAAACGCTTTGGCTCAGTTCTGTTGTGAAGCAGATGGAGAAGCAGATACATTGGAGACGGGACCAATTATGTGAATTTGCAGTAAAATTTACATTAATGGCCAGAGCTATATCGAAGCACATTTGGCCATTTGCGTCAGTGGATCAGTCTTAATTGAATGGCTCATATGAATCTTATAGTGTCATTTTGGCATAAAAGTCTTATATGTATTTATGTTCATGCATTATTGGTTTCTTTTTTTGTTCTTAAGTAGATAAACACATGTAATGTGGGGTTGGTTATTTGCAGTACTGTTTGGCTTTTAATGAAAATAAGGTAAATGAAGTGAAGGGCAGTACAAGTACAATAATTTGGATATCATCATTCCGTTGAAGACCAATTTCCAGTAACATCTCCATTCCAAGTTGCAAGCAAACGTAGCCGGACCAACAGACTCGCACAGGACAGAACAGGTGTCTGAAAGCTATGCTTGGCAAATTGCGATTCGTCATGATCTAGGGTTAAAGGAAATGCGGTAAAATAACACCACACACTCTGAGTGACATGTCAGCTGGACCTACGTGGATGGACAACACACAGATATGTGTACGTGTGAATGTGCATCAGGGAGATAAAGTACTTCTGTATATGTGAGCCATTTCCTTGGGAAAGAGTGTCCCATGACACGATACACACCAAATGATACTTAAATTACTCTTTGCTGAATAAGATCTTTGAACTTCTTCCATGATTCAAAGAAGAGTATTTAGGGTTTAAAGAGAAAATTAAGAGTGTGTGCGTATTTGCCCATATTTATCTCATCAACCATCAAGTGCCAACTCACTGCTGCAGTCTCGCGCAAAACGTTTTTGTGCCTTCTAATGCTTATTGTCAGTATTTCAATATGAAATTGAATTATTAACAAACTTCAGGCAGCACACAATCAGTAATCCACACCAGAAACTCCTGCAGTTAACCTGATTATATCCTTGATTTGATATCATTCCTTACAGCCTTGGTTTGTAATGTTCTGTGAGATGCTGTATGAGAAACGTATGGAGCGCCATGTTCCAAGTTTTGTCCACAGAACTGTGTTTTGTATATTATTCTGGTGTATAATTTTGAGAAAGGCTGTGAAAATTATTGTTGTTCTATTAACTAGAGTTTCATTCACACATGCACAGCTAACCCATTCGCTGGCCATTTTTAAAAAATAAAAGATTCTTTTTCTGGATATTTGTCTTTGTCATTCTTATTTGCATCCATATTTAATTTCAACTTATTCATATTTGTTCTGAAATACATTTGGAAACAATTATGGAAAAACAACAACAATAACAGCAACAAAGGTTTGGGTTATGGGTTTGCTTTCGCCCTGGGTACCAGCTGTTTATGTTAGCCTTCTTGTCAAACATCTGTACTGTGAGCCACAGCTGTGAGGGGACACCTTTAGGGAATTCATTCTCAGCACTTATCCAGTGCTACAGTTTTACAAAGTGACAGTAATTAAACTTTCACAGTAAATTTAATTGGATGCTGCTCAAATTAGGTGGATGAATCGTCGCAAAATGCAAAATAGATGCTAAGTTATCCTTTTGCTGTAGAAGCTTTTCATTTAGTCTGTTTTTTCAGAAATATACAGAAAATAAAACTCACATGTTGCATTTCTTATGCCATTGTCAGAACCTTCTGACCTTACAGGGCCTTGAGTTGACACATTATATGGGGCTATAGGTGTACCTACAAAAATAGAAAAGTTAAGATTTCTGCGTTAAACAACCAACAAGAGAAGAATGAGAAGAGATCCCATCTCCTCTGGTCCAGTGGGTAGAATGCTCAAGTTGGCCTTGGCATGCATGCCAAGCAGCCGTCCCTAACCAGTCCAGGGAGAAGCCAAGTGCCAGGGCCGCGCTGCTGAATTTTAATGATTCATTATGCTGTGGAGGGGCCCCATTGTGTCCCTTTATCCGGAGAGCTAGAAAGGAATTAATTGGACAGAAAATGGAAGGGCAAGGGGAACTGACAAGCCATTAAGAGGGTCCTGAATGGACGATTAGATGCACATGGGGGAGGATTTTCCCCCCCTTGCTGTCTCATATCGCGGCGCTTCACAAACAAAAAAAAACAAGAACAACCACAATGACCACCAGACCAAACTGTAGAAATCATATCAGCGCACATAATCTGTAGATAATAAAAGAAGATAATACCACAGCAGATGGGGTGTGGGTGGCTCAAGAACGACTTGTTGTTTTTCTTCCCTCAAAGTCTTGTTTTTTTTCACCAGTGTTTGCCAAATACTTTCAGGAGGAACTCTTGAGAAAGAACAGGAGTGAATAAAAGTGAGGCAAAAAGGCTCTTCAGGGTGCTTGGGTCCTTTTTCCCTGGAACTGGTCCACAGTTTCTGATTGGACCTCTTGAAAGCCCTACTGTAAATAGCTTAAAAAAATGAACTGCAATGGGGAGACTTCATTCCCTCATTCAGTGTACTGTGCTGATGTAACTGAATGAATGAAGGAAGGAACATTTTTACACTTCAGTTGGAACATTGTCTGAGAAGAACTGTACATTCATGGACATAATTTCACATCGGGTGCAACCGTAGTGAACCACATCATATACAGTCGAGGCTTATGCACACACAAACTCTCCCATTCCACACTTACATGAATGCAGAAATTGGAAATGAAATATAATTTACAGTAATTTTAACACTGCCGCACTGAGGCTGTGCTACATTCCAGCTGTCACAGTTATTGTTGATGGAGGAAGGGCGTTATTGGCCGAAGTGGGAGTCGCGGTCTTGGACCCAGAGGACATGAGAGCGAAGCGAAATGAACCCAGTGAAACTGGTGCTTCCACCACCTGACCACATCCCATTGTTAGGAGGAGGATAACTCGCCTGGTAATAGTCTCATCCTGTTTAATGAGCCTGGCTGACTCAGGGCATGTTTCGGGGAAAAAGAGGGAGCTGGGAACTGTGAAAACTCTGAGAATGCGAGGCTGATTTGCAAGGGAAATGAAGTGGACATAAAGCATGGTTATTGCCCGCCCAGCCTGATTCCACTTGATGCAATGAGTCTCTTTTAGGTTCTCTTAAACCTCATCCCACATACATCTCATGTCTCATCATCGATGGCATTTTATTTTGTCTACAAAAACAAGAAAACGTTTTCCCTTCAACAAGTGATAAAATCAATGGAGTTATATAACAGATGATATTATTTTGGTGTTCATTTTGTGGTTTTCATCACTCTCATACAATTGGGTGATGCCTTAAATACTTTAACTAGTTTATTTCACTGTGAAATTTTCAGAAAACACTCTAAGAGGTTTGCCTCTGGAACTGCAACATATAGATTAAATCAAAATGGCATACAGTAGTACTGTCTGGCCCACTTGTTTGCTGTATCTCGTGCTGCTTCCAAAGCAAACAGTAAATTGTAGCCGCCCTACCCAAGTAAATGACTTCCTGAGGCTTGTTTTGCCTTGTCTGCCTGTTCTTCTCACCAAATAAAGGAGTCTATTTTATTATTGGTGTCTGCTGTGTTTGCTGGCGTGACCAGGCCAAGCAAAATATGGTGGCAGACAGAACCAACATTGACTTTCCAATTCCTCACGGATAGGCCCGCACAAAGAAAAAGGGAGGGAAGCAAAGTGCCAGTACTCCTGCTCTTGAAATGCCACTATAATTGATGCTGGCTCTACCAAGGTCACCTACGATTGGCCGGCAATACTGACATCAACTGGTTCCTGTGAGGGCCTGACGCTCACTTCAACCGTACTTAAACACAGTACAAGTAAAATGTTTGAGAAGAAAAAAAGAGTTTCTTTCAAAGTGTCTGGAGGTACAAGAACAAACCAGGATGGTTTAAATGTCAGTAAAGTTGCAGTTTGTTTTTACTTTAAGTATTGAAATATTTCTTGGTAAATCATGAGGGATTAATGAATAAAGCTCTTTGAAAACATTGTAATCATAAAATATAAAATCTGGTGCTTCAATCAGGCATGGAAAAAAAATCCATTTTGACTTAAATCTTTCCCAGTGGAGCAACTGATTGTGGTTGTTTACTGAGAAGATAATCAGACCTGGGTCTAAAACAATTTGCAAATAATTCTCAGTGTCTGTTTCAACCTGCGTGGAGTGCCAGATGGGGAGGGATTACTACACCACGGAAAGTCAGAGCGTGTCAGGCTACTTTTTCTACTTTTCTGATTAATAAAACTTTCTGGTACTCATTATAAATTTCACATTTAGTAAAATCACATTTTTAATATACGCATAAAAGTATGAAAACAAAGGTTGGATATTAAATAAATAAATATTATTTTACCAAAAGTGGGGTTCATCAGCATCGTGAAATGGTGATAGTGATGGTGTTGAAGACAAACAAACACCACAGGTGGAGTGTTTCGATTTTTTTATCTTTTTTAAAGGAGTATAGAAATAAAGAAAATTGAAAAAATACAGCAACAATTTGACATCTGGTCATGTTCTGTTCTCTGAACAGTTGTCCACAGTCTTTCACTTTCTTTTTTCATTTGTTCTCTCCTTTTCACTTTTTCTTGGCACATCTCAATTGTGAATGGGGTGGCAGCATAGCTGCTCATCTCCTTTCCACAGCTTTAAGACTTGTTGATTAGTAACTATGGCTGTGTTTTCATTGTCACAGCTTTCTGCTTTTGTTGAACTGTGGCACATTTCCATCATCATGTACTTTCTCCATCTTTACTTGAAGTTATCTCATCTCAACCTTTTTCCCTTCACACTTCCTCTCTCCGTACTCATCACAGAGTGTGTCCACTGTCCCATGTTTAAGTCACACTGGAAAGACTTCTGATGATTGTGTAGTAGTTAACCTAATATTTCCCCCCATGAAATTTAAAATGTAAATGAGTAGAGCTTTGTAATCTAGTTCTGCATGTATGTCATCGTAAATAAAAAGCCAATTTTAACATGGGCACTGTTTGTGGGGACTTTATTAAGCCTGCAATCATTCATTTAAAATTGTTATGTCAATAGCAGAATCTCTCTTCTGGCCAACGTAATTAGGAATCATGAATTAGCATATTACTGCCCCCACCACACACACACACACACACACACACACACACACACACACACACACACACACACACTCACATTGTTACCCTGCCCCACAGCCCTCAGCACCCACACAAGTTGTACTCCTCTGTCACCAATGAGGCAGAGGAGAGAGAGAGAGAGAGAGAGAGAGAGAGAGAGAGACTGAGCCACCAGCATGTGGGATCCTGTAAGACCCTGGAATGTGAAATGTGGGAGGAACATTTGACACAATTTTTTTCATGCTACTGATGCACAGAGGTAAAGAGGTAGAGACGAAACATGTAAAAGAGAATGGGAGAGGGAAAGAGAGAAGAAAGAAAGATGATGAAGAGGAAACAGACAGGAGGCTGGAAAGTCTCAGGTAGAAAAAGAAAAGAAAAAAGGCAAATATCTCTTATTTCTCTTGTTTGCAGAGTTGCTTTGGCACAGAGTGTGGCAGGGACAGCAGGACCAGAGTTTTAAATGTAGCTCAGTGTTGGCAGAGCTGTGTGTGAGTGCACTCTGTGGGAGCACCAAATTTTGTCGCCCAGCGCAACATGGCGATTCAGACAAAAAAACAGCAGAGCCCATCAAAACTCATTTACCATGCTAGTGCATATACACCCCACAGGCCTGCGGTCGGATTTTCTATACTCACTAGCTCAATTCTCACAAGCCTATATACTGTAGTGCCATGAGGAATGCATTTTAAAACCATGTCTGGGATGCCACACTTTCTCTGGTTTCTGGGCCATACTAAAACGGACAGTACACCGCAACATATTAGGTGACCATTGCAATATTTGTTTAAAACACATATGATCAGCAACACATGTCCATCCTCTCACACTTGATATCTTTTGTGGTATGACAAAGAGCAGGGGAGAGGGGAAAAAATAGGGAAGAGTTTGTTCTCCCATGTGGTTTTGGCCCGTTCTGGGGGCCTTGGAGCAATGCCAGTCTATCCCTGGTCCAGCCTTTGATATGGATGGGGTTCATTATGTAACTGAATCTATTGTCAAAGAATAAAACAATATGTGGGAGGTGCGCTGTTGTGTGTGTGTGCTTGTAGGCCACAGAGGACCTAAAAAGCAAGTGGCTGAAGGGGCATTTACACAACCCTCTCTCACCTTATCACAGCCCAGACACCGTGAAACACTGATGCTCCC